AAGTATCAGCAAGTGTGAGGTCCCTTAGATGGAAGTAAGAGCACCAGGGAGTGCGAAGCCCCTGAGATAGTGAAGAGAAGGTTAATTTGAGATGAACTGCAGAGGAAGGTAGGGCCAGATTATTTAGGGCCTTGAAGACCAAAGTCTCAGGTTTGAATTTTATTCTAAGTGTAAATAGAAGCCCTTGGAATGTTTTAAGCAAGAGAATGATTAGATTTGAAGAAAATTGCTTTGATGACTGTGAAAGGAAGCAAGTTTGGAGACCAGTTGGGAGGTTACTGCAGGAGTCCTGGTGAAAAGGTTCCATTCAGTTTCTGTTTGGATATTCCCAGTGCTGGAAAATTCTCTGAAAGGCAGCCCATTCTATAATTGGACCAATGAGTTTTTCCTTTGTATTGAGCTGAAATCAGCCTCCCTGAAGCTTGCACTGACTTTTCCTAATTCTATAGGCATCTACAAATTCTATAGCCATCTGAGACAGAATGTACCTTTTCCTCTTCTCTCCAAAGCAGTCCTCTGACAACAGCAGCTCTTTTGCTCCTTAAGATGTGGCCACCAGCACAGCACCTAGTGTTCTGCATGTCCCCTGCCCTGTGAAGATGACCAAAGGGTTAGGCATTCCCTTGATCTAGCTGACTTCTAATGTGGTTTCTAGCAGTCCTGTTGTGCTGTTGGCTCACGTAATACTCAGACTTTTCAAATCACATTTTGCCTCCCCTCGTCTCCCCATCCTATATTTCTAGGTTATATTTTTCTAATCTAAATGCAGCACTTTACATTTATTTCTATTTCATCTTGGTAAGTTTATTCCAGTTTATTGAGCTGTTTTTTTTAATCCTGATTCCATCATCCACCATATCCTTCCAGCTTTGTGTCTTTTATAAATTCACTGTGTTATGTCCTCTAATGTCTACATTACAAACTCTACTAAAAATGCTAACTACCAAGAGCCCTGTGTGGCATTTCCTTAGTGACTTGTCTATAGATGGCACTGTACTATTAGTGTATATTCTTTGAGTACACGTGTTCAGTTCATTATGAACCTTG